GTCTGGGCCGCTTCTGGGTTTGTTCCAGCTGAGGCAAGAGGAGGAAGGCCCGTGATGGCATCATTGGTCTGTCGCCCAGAGCATGTGCCTCGCAGGGTGCTGTCTGTGCCCCCGAAGTCCTCTCTGTGGTCCTGTCCCTGCTACTCCACAGGTGCCTCCCGCGTCCCAGCTCATCTCTACTCCAAGTCTCAGGGCCCGCCACGGCCTGGAGCACCCTGCAAGTGTGGGGGCCCATGAATTTCAAGCTGGGGCTGCTCAGGTGTTGAGCGTCTGCCTCTTCTGTGGGTTGTAGTCAGCTGGGGAAGCCCAGAGCAGCTGCGCCTGCCCCTTTCTGCCCTGCTGGTTGCCCCTGGGCCTGAGGAAGAAGGTGAGAGCCAGCAGGGACAGCCCAGCACCAGCTGCTGAGATCTGAACGCAGCCAGCCTTGGCACCTACCCAGGACAGAACCGTCCCTGTCCGGGAGGGCAGGTCAGCAGTTCCACCTGGTCTCATTCCTGCCGTTGGAGCCTGGATCCCAGCTGTACATGAGAGCAGCATGCAGGGCGATTGGTCAAGGAAGTCGCCTTGCTGCCTGGCTGCCTTCCAGAAAGAGCCTCCAGCTCTCTCCTCCCAGCGCCCCTCCTTGCCCCCGAGGGAAGAGGCACCCTTGGTGCCTGGGGCTATTGTGTGTGGCTGTTGCCCTTGTCCCTCCCCCAGGCCCAGTGGGAATGGTGGGCCAGTGACAGGGAACAGTGTGGCCATTCTTCTCTGCTCCCAGTCAGTGCAGCGTCTCTGTGCTCCGTGCACAGTATATGACAAAACACACAATCGGGCATTGGGAGGCACAAAGGGCCCGTCTGAGACGTCGCCCACAGAGGGTCCTTGTGTGACCCTGGCACGGTGTGGACGGCCTTCCCTGTCCGTAAGGCCTGGGAGGAGTGAGCTACCCCTACCTAGTCTCTTCTCCTACCTCAGTCACCTCAGGGGAGCCATAGAGCAGAGGTGCTAGCCCTGAGGCCATATAGACTGCTGCAGTTCCTCCTCTGCCGCTTCCTGCTGTGTGACCTTGGGCAGGTTAGCTAGTGTCAGCCTAGGCCTCAGTTTTGTAGTCTGTGAACGGAGGCTGAGAGTCCCAGGTGGAAGTTAAATGAAGTCCTGTGACCTGCCTTGTTTGGATGGTCCCCCGTGGCTCTGCCAGGGCCTGGCACCTTCTGGAAGGAGTGTTAGCAAGAGGCTCCAGTTCTCCATCTTCAGGAAGGAGACAAGTGGCCATGTGGCTGTCATGTGGCAGTTTCACTTCTGAGGTTTGGGCTTTCTTGCACTTTCCCCACAGTAGCACCATCCATTCATTCATAGACATCGGCTAAGGACCTGCTGTACTGAGCTCTAGGGATGGAAGGGTTTGGGGACTGGCGTCATGGGTGCCTGCCCAGAACGTGGCCCTGTGCTCAGCATACTTCTGAGCCTTCCTATTATGGGGACTCTGACTGCAAGAGGCAGAAATCCCTGGGGCTCCCTGAAGCTGCTGAGGAGAGTCTTGGGAAGGTGCAGGGGTCGTTTGTGGGGTTGTCAGGAGGAGCAGGAACGAGGATGGAGAAGGTTTGGGATCCTAGGAAAGATCTTGGCTTTTCTCTACTCTGCAGACTCCATGGCCAAGTACATTCTCAGGAAGGAGAGTCTGATTGGACTAAGAAGGGTTAAGTGACACCCCCAACCCCACTCCATCCTATCAAAGGCAGCTGGGTGAGCAGGGTCTCAGAGCTGCCCAAGGCTCCTGGCACACCTGCAGCTGACTCAGTCGTGTGGGTGAGCAGAGCAGACCTCCCCAACCTGCTCATTCAACTGTTTCTTTGGAAAGGATAGCCTCAGGTCCCATGGGACAAGGTCCTGCTGCCACCCCGGATCCCTCCCAGGGGCTTCAGGTGGGTATACAGTGGTCACTGGGTGAAGAGACTTTGGCCTCGGTGCTCATGAATTACGTGAACTTGTTACTAGAGCCCTAGTGTATACCTGCCAAGTGAGCCTTGCTGGGGACGTGGACAAAAGCAGGTATCATTGCTCTGAATTTATAGTCTTATTGGGAAACAATGAGATGTCCAGCTATGAAAAAAGAAGTTATGAGAAATTATGGGAGGAGGAGGAGGCAGAGTTCTGGTTTCTTAGGTCAGATCCCAGGAAGCTGGCTCTGAGACGTGATTTCCCAGCATATTTCTGGGAAGAGGGTGGGTATGTGCGTCACTCTCAGCAGCTACCCTGGGAGGGAGAGAAGAGAAGGCCTGGGCGGAGTCAAAGCAAATGCAAGAGAGGTCACAGCCAGTCCTGCAAGGGCTTCTGGGACTGGGGGGACCTTTAGAGTTGTCCCAATGGAGGCAAGGGGCGCAGGCCTTTGGACCCCAGCCTAGGCCAGTTAGCAGACAAAGGCTGCACTTGGAGAGGGGTGTGACCTTGGGTGAGGCACTCCCTTCAGCCAAGGTTAATGTCCAGAGGGACTGGCTCAGGGCCCTCAGGCAGCAACGGGACTGAGCCCAGGGGGTGGGACTTTGTCCTGAAAGGGGCTGTGCCCAGGGAGCCCACCACAGCGTCCTTTTCTCAGCCCTCGAGAGGACGGTGCATGGGCAGCATGGCTGGCTCTGTGTGTCCTCAGGCCAGATGGCACTGTCGGGAGGGTGCTGTCCGTGCCACTCAGCCCAGATGCCCAACTGTGAGCCTGTGGGGCTAAAAAAAATTAATACTTTTCCTCCTACCTTCCAAGTTCTTCTGGCTGGGCTAATAAATGAACAGAGACAGGTTAAAGAGAAAAACAAAGTTTAATGCATGTGCCTGGCATGGAATTCACATAGGCATGGAATTCCAAAGACAGTGAGGCAGCATTGAGTATAGAAGACATTTTGGGGCAAAGGAGACAAGAGGGAGTGGGAATTAGATTCCAGAAGTGAGAATGGCTGACTCACAGGTAGTCTAGGAAGAGCAGATCGCATCTGGCAGGACAGCTCTTGCTGGACCACCCGGAGACCGTGGGTCATAGACTGTGTAGCTCACAGGCCCTGCTGGGCCTCTTGTTCACCACACGTCATTCACTTCAGGCTGAGGTGACATCCCAAGGCAGGGGTCCTCAAACTTTTTAAACGGGGCCAGTTCACTGTCCCTCAGACCGCTGGAGGGCCGGACTATAGTTTAAAAAAAAAAAAACTAGTTGGCTGCTAAGCAACAGGCAGCTGCGGCAAAAACACCCAGCGGGCCGGATAAATGTTTTCGGCAGGCCGCATGTGGCCCGCGGGCCGTAGTTTGAGGACCCCTGTCCTAAGGTCTCCTTCCTGGAGCAGCTTTCTCTGTCTGAGTCTCTTGGACAGGAAAGGGAAGGGGGGCCAGAGGTTCTTTCTGAGTCTTTTGCCCAGAAAAGGCAGCTTCAGGGTAGCAGAATTTTGGTCCCTTCAACCCTCAGAGTCCAGGAGCCTTCACGTAAGGATCCCAGGGAGTTTGAGTCAAGTGGGTGACCTGCTGCCCCCGCCCAGCCCAGGTTGTTGGAGGATCTGCACTGCGTGCCGGGGCCTCCCACAGCCGCCATCTCAGATGAGGGAAGTTAAGGCACCGACCTGGAAGTGGTGGGGGATCACAAAGAGGGGCCGGCCTGTCATTGTCCAGCTGACTTTCAAGCTCTTTCTCTTTCCTGCACTGGCTCCTGCCTGGAGGGGCCCAGCCGTGACCACAGGGAGTGAGGGGCAGGACAAGACTCCCACACAGGGAGGTGGACGGAGTAGGAGGTTTCAAGTCACATAGACCGGGTTGCATCCTGGCGTTGCCCTTACTAGCTGGGTGACCCTGGGAAGCTGCTTGAGCGCCTGAGCATGATTTCCTCCTCTGTAAAATGGCAATAATGGCGATATTCGTGTCCCGCATGGGCTCGTGAGGACTGAATGGACTTACTTGACGGAGCAGTAAAGGTGCGTGCTGTGCTGTAACTCATAGGAGTGACCGGCAACCTGTGGTTTCTCCTCCCAGCTGCTGACATGGCCTCCAGAAATTTCTTCGGGCGCCTTTGTTCTCCTGTGGGACCTCAGCGTGGATGGTCTCTGTCGTCAGTCTGGTCAGTACCAGGGTGTGGGGTGGAGGCTTCCGCCCTGAGCTGGCGGTCACCTTTCACAGTTCCCAGTCTCCTGGCACCGGCATGGGGGGAGGTGCCGGGGGAGGGGGATGCTGGGGGGACGCTGCGTCACCAGGCTGTGGAGACATGGGGCCATCTTTGGCTCTGGTGTCAACAGTTGTAGAAAGCTGAGCCGACAGGTTCCGTGGCACCTGGATCTGGCCTCAGGGGAATGTCACTGTGGCCAAGTCCAGGCTGACCTCACAGACTCGGGATCCCAGAACAGTCTAGAAGGCCAGTTCTCTGGATTTAAGGGGACAGTTCTTTCTGAACTACATCGGGTCAGGGAAACTCCTGGGGTTGGACTAACCAGGGCCAGGGCCAATGAAGGGATGCACGTAAGTCACTCTTACACTTCCAGGAGATCCGAGTTCACAGAGTTCCGGGCTGTCACTGTTTCTACCTGAACCCAGATACTTTGGCACCAAAAAAAAAAAAAAAGTCATGTACCAGTTGAAAGTTGCTTATAGCAGGCAGACAGTGAGAGGAACAAACAGGAGTCCAGACCCCGCCTTTGCTCCCTGCCGGAGTCTGCCCACCTCCCGCTAAAACACTGATGGCATAGCTCAGAAGGCCAAGGTCGGAGACCACGATGCACCATTCACACCCACCAGCACTTTGACCTCGGCTTTTATGCCTTCCTGTTTCAGGACTTGGCTGAGCTGGGGGCCAGCTGTCAAATTAGAGCATCCAGACCCCTGCCCCCGCCTAGGGCCCCTCTGAGGGTTTCTGAATAGCACCAGTCTCCGCATCCTCTCCCTTTTCATAACCTCTGCCCCTGCGCCCGGCTGCCCTTTCTGGAGCCCCTGGGGCCACCTCTGCGGCATGCCTGCCCTTTGGGGAACAGAGGCCTCCCTTGTCCTGCTCCTCTCCTCCAGGCAGTGGTATGTCTCCTCCCAGAGGGGAGAGGCCGAGGCCGTCCCACTCTTCTCTGCTTCTTGCCACATTGTCCTTGATTCGCCCTCCATCAGGAGGGCCAGGGTCTTCTCCTGAGCTCCCAGGTGGCTTAGCTCTGCTCCCTCCACTCCAGAGCATTTCTCAGGCACCACGTGCGAGCCCATCTGGGGCTGTCGTCCTCCCCCGCCCCCCACTCCCACCATCACCATTGGAATAGACTGGCCTAGAATTCCAGGCCCCAGGTGCAGTTTTCACGGATTCAGAGAAAGTCAAAGGCCAGATCCACACAAGAACTGTCCGCAGGGACTTGAGCAGATGTCCTCACACACAGGCTCATAGCAGCATTACTCACAACAACCTAAAGGTGGGAGCAACCCAAGAACCCGCCAGTGGGTGACTGGATAATAGTGTGTAGACACATGAGATGGAGTGTTATTCAGCCTTGAAAAGGGAGGAAACGGACAGGCTACAGCACAGGTGAGCCTGAAGGACATCATGCTGAGTGAAATAAGCCAGAATCAAAAGGATAACTGCTAGCTGACTCCTTTTATATGAGGTCCCTAAAGTCATCAAAATTATAGGGACAGAAAGTAGAAGGTGGTTGCCAGGGAACAGGAGGAGGGGTGGGGAGTTCGTGTTTGATAGGCACAGTGTCTGTCTGAGAAAGACAAGAAGTTTGGGAGAAGCATAGATTTTGCCCTCCTAACCCCCTCACTGCTCTGCAGTCACCATCCCCATCCCATGTTTTGTGCTTTGTACCATAACAAAGAGACAAAACAAAACAGCCAAGTCCGGAGCCTAGAGCCAGTGCCGGGAGAGACTCTTCCAAAAGCTGGAGCTGAAAGTCGGCCGTCAGTTCAGGAAGCATTTTTGAGATCCATTAGACCCAGGGTCGCTGCGAACAGAATCACGCGCCTTCGATTTGTCTACAAGTTGAGGTGCTCTGAGTGTCCTTTCATCCGTGGGTCACAGCCTTCAGGGAAGAACCAGGGGCCCCCTCCCATCGGGATCTGTGATTGGTGCGTGAGTCTTGAAGCTGCCTGACCTTTCTCTTTGTAAACTGGGGAAAGCTCTCCCCTTTCCTCGAGCTCGTACTGACAGGCAGCCCTTCCCAGACCCGCTGGGGAGTCTTACCCCACCATGCTCCCCCGGCCAGGGGAGGGCAAGGCGGCCTGGCCTCTGGCGGAGCTGACTGTGCAGGTGTCCTCCAGGTGAGCGGCTGAGGCCTGGCAGCAGGGTCCTTGGAGCATTGTACTGAGTGTGGCGGGAAGGATTGTCCTGACTGAGAAGCACACGTAACCGTTTAGAACTCCTGGCTGAGCTTGGAGGACGGGACATCTTGCATCCTGACGTTCTTCATGCAGGGGGTGTGTATTCATTCATTCAGCAGACATGCAGGGGGTGTGTATTCATTCATTCAGCAGACATGCGCTGAGGCGTCCTGTATTCTAGCAACTCGCTCGATGGTGGGGCAGAGGGAGAGTCGGGAATGAGGAGGCAGATTCCTGCCCTCAGGAGGCCGCTGGCCCATGGGCAGGATGGCTGTGCAGCTGTGGTAAGAGACGGAAGAAAGGGCAGGGCAACCCGGTGGACTTGCAGTGGTGGAGTTGGTGGGGGCAGGAGTTGGGGCGTGATTTGTAGACTAGGGGCCGGTGATCCATCTTGAAAGATGGCATGGCCGGGCTTGCAAGCTCAGTTGCCTCTGGGGACCGAGCTCTCTCTAAAGGGCTGGCAGGTCCAGTGCTGCTAGGTCTCTCTCCATGTTCAAGACAAGCTGTGTGTTGGTTAGGATGGCCTTTGCCTATAACAAATACCCTCGTCAGAGAGGTTTATCAACTCACGTAACAGACATTCCAGAGGCAGGGTTGTGGGCTCTGTCCAGCACGTCTGAGTGTCGGAGCTCTGGCTCAGCCCTGGTGCCTCATGGCTCCTGCGGGGTTGCAGAGTGGCTGTCATAGCTCCAGCGTCACCATGTTTTATGAGGCAGCAGTGTGCAAGGCAAGGCATTCTTTGCATTTTCTTTCACTGAACAGAGCTGTGTCACGGGCTTCCTGGCTGTCAGTGCCCTTTGAATCCCTGGCTATGTCTGAAAAATTTCAGCTCCATGAATCCTACTCCTTCAAGGTAGAACTCCAGACATTCACATTTCCAGCCTCCTTCCAAATATTTGAATTTTTAGTTTTGGAATTTCCATTTAGTTGTTGTTGTTGTTGTTGTTGTTGTTCTTCTTCTTCTTCTTCCTCCTCTTCTTCTTTCTTCTTCCTTCTTCTTCTTCTTCTTCTTCCTTCTTCCCCTTCCCCTTCCTCTTCTCCTCTTCTTCCTCTTCACTGGGATTTCTTATTTGTTCATTCAACGTGAGCATATTTCGTTAACCTCCTTGAGCATAGTTATGATAGCTGCTTCTAATTCTTATCTGTGACTCAAACATCCGGATTATCTAATTCATTACATGGAAAATTAAGTATGAAAGTGAACTTTTACTTAGAATGAGTAATGAAATCATGGACCAAAATGCTGGACCTTGGGAGGTTCTTTCTCCTCCATCTTTTTAGGGTGTTTTCCAGAACATTCCTTTCCTAACCTAGAGCGTTCGGGGCATGCAGGGGAGGGCCCGGGCCTTAAGCTGCATCAGCTTTGTGGTCAGTTGGCTCTGGCATATGATCAAACGGTTTTCTGCTCAAGCAGCCAGGCCTGGTCTAAGAGTTCTTACTGCTCCAGGAGCCACCCTAGGCCAATCCCTGAAAAGGGCAGGGGGATGTCACGGCTCTTCCACTGGATGGACCAGCTTTTCCTAGCGGAAGCCTGGACAAAACCCGGCTTCTCCCAGGGAAGAAGAGGAGCGTGGTTCTTGGATCAGCAGCCAGCGGCCATGGCCAGACTGTGGATGTTTATGTGAAATCTCAGGGTAACTAATTCAGTTAGAAAACAAAAGTAAAAACTGCCCTGTCCAGGTTGGCTGCACAGTTAGAGCGTCAGCCTGAGGCCTGAAGGCTCACGAGTTCGATTGCTGGTGAAGGGCACGTACCTCTATCTCAGTTGCAGTTCCAATCCCTGGTCCCTGCTGGAGGCAACCAGTTGATGTGTCTCTCTCACATTGATGTTTCTGTCTCTCCTCCCCCCCTCCTCCTCCCCGCTCCAATCTCCCTCCCTCTCCCTTCTACTCTCTCTCTCTCTCTCTAAAGATCAATGGAAAAAATATCCTCGGGTGAGGATTGAAAAAAAGGAAAGCAAAACCTCCCGCTGCGAATCCATCTGCAGACTCTTTTCAACTGCAGATGGAATATAGCTCCCCTGGCCTGCACCCCCGGGGAGAGGATTCAGGTGCCAAGAGGTACAGGGAAGCAGGGAGCCGCAGAACAAAGAACAGGGGGTACAGGAGATGAGGCTGAACATGGGGGGAGGCGGGGGCCAGGTCTCGGAGGACAGTGGGGTCGTTACAAACAGGGTGAAGCTTACTCGTTGGTAAGACCAAGACAGAACTGTTTGCTATTTAGATATAATCCGCATACCATATAGTTCACCCTGTTAAAGCGTGTGATTCACAGAGTTGTTCAACCGTCACCACTGTCTAATCCCAGAGCATTTTCCTCACCCTCACAAGAAGCTTCATGCCCATCAGCGGTCACTCACTCTCAGTCCCCACTCTCCCAGGTCCTGGCAATCCCTGGTCTGCGTCTGTCTTGGTGATTTGCTTATTCTGGACATTTCACATAAATGGAATCACACAGTAGGTGACCTTCTTTTTTATTTTTATGGTTGAAAATATTACATATGTCCCCCTTCCCCCTCTATTGACCTCTTCTAGCCCCTCTTCGCTCCCCCCAGGCCTTCACCGCCCTATCGTCTGTGTCAGTGGGTTATGCTTATATGCATACAACGTCTTTGGTTGATCTCTTCCCACCCACCCACCCTCCCTTGCCTTCCCTCTGGGATTCCACAGTCTGTTCCATGCTTCTATATCTCTGGATCTATTTTGTTCATCAGTATTTTTATACATGGAATACTATGCAGCAGTAAAAAAAAAAAAAAAAAGGATCTCTTACCCT